CGACAACATCCGACGAGGGGCTACTTGTTCCGTAGCCTTTTTCCATTGGATAACGTGCCACTCCACGCGCATCAGAAGACCTTTGCCCATGATTCATCAGACCTCGTCCAACCATGCCACTCGTGGCATGCAGAGCTCAGTGGATCACGTACCACACCACGTGCACCATGGGGCCTCACCCTCGATGCCTCGGACCTCGACCGATCATGTTATTCGTGGCTTGCAGCAACTGCTTTGAAACGTGAGCAGTGCTTAGTGGATTCCGTGTCACTCCACGTGCAGCAATGGGGCCTCGCCCTCGATGCCTCGTCCCTTGGCTGACCATGCCACTCGTGGCATGCAGCAACTGCTTTTTTTCTTGAGCAGTACTTAGTGGATTTCGTGTCACTCCGCGTCAGCTCGCGATCCGTGCTTGGAAATCTTGTCGATACACTTTCGGTGTTCGACAAATCGGATACTCCGATATCCAGCACGTTGGCCGTCCCGGTCCAGTGTTCGCGCCAATAGCGCTCCTTCTCCTAGCACAGTTGGGTTCATGACTCATCAAAGCTCCACCAGGAGATGTGCACGAAGCGCCCAAAGTCGTCGACCTCCAATCGCTCATGGCTCATGGTGTCACAACCATGCCAAACAAGGATAAGGTCAACCTTTCATCCAAGTCTAACACCACACAGCGTTCAACGCTATCAAAGTCAAGGAACTTGACACATAGGCTCACAGAGACCTTCGTCACAGTGACACAAGTCCCCGTCGCTAAGCGAACAGTGATGGTGTCACTCAACCGCGCTTTCAGCGCCTCAGCATCCAGCTGACTTTATTCGGTTGAAGGGCGAGGAGCATAATTGCCCGACGCCTCGGAATCGACCAGGATCTTCCAAGTTTTCTCAAAGCCTTTTATGGTCGCATTTTCGACCAGCAAGCCCAACTTCCATACACGTTCCATGGTCAAGAGCACGGATCTGTTCGGGGCTAGCCCCTGATTCCCTCTACCTCTTTGAGGCTCGACAGAGCTCAGTTATTCCCCAGTAGGGCGGCCGGGGGCTCTCGTTTTCCCGCGACAAATCAACCATACTAGTAAGAAGCGGGTCGGTTCGATGACCTATTACGCGCCTTGCGCAGGAGGAATCAGCCTGAAGGTGACGGGTGTCTCCACATACAATTCATTGTCGGGTGTTCGAACGCTGCCCGTCCGCTCGGAGCTCTCCCTCTCTTTATCAGCATAGCTGAGATCCATTGGCTTAGGCCTGCATTCGAACCGAGTCGTGCCAACTGAAATTGAATTCGGTATTATATGCCGCATTCACTGCATCTACAAGAGAAGACGGATGCAAACGGAATACTTCCATTCTGGCCACGCCAGTGCGGAGACGTTTTTTATAAAGACGGTCACTGTGAACAAGTCGGGAAGAGGATCGGCAGACATCCCGGTAATGAGAGTACCCAGTTTTGAACAAATTCCACCAACTCTTTCTTTCTTTGTCGGGCGGTAAGGAAACGCGATCGCACACGATATGCCTATTTCAGCCGCGAGAACACTCTCAAAAGCGGCAGCTCTCGCTCCTGGAAGGAGCAAAACGCCGCTTCAACCGAAATACCGCACAATAGTGCCCGTTCTCATGCTCGGCCCCCGAGCTTGGCGATAGCTAGTGCTTTGCGCTATCGCTCGTTCTGGAGCATGGCGGAAGCCTTAGCCATCTCGGCCTCTCTCCCCAGAGCAGGAGATCCTTTCCATCTTTTACCTCGAAGGTTTTAGCGCTCACCATGAGCGGCCTGGGCCGTGAGGAGTCATCCGTCGTCGACGGTGGCGTCATGGACACAGTCGACGCCGACATCTTTTCCTCTAGGTGCTCTAGCAGAGCATTTTCATAGTTTGAAAACGCCTCAAGGCGCGCGTGTATTGGTTCATATCCTTGCGAAGCAAGGTGTTGTACATCCGCAGGGCCAAGCAGGGATATCACCTTATTAAGCCCGTCCTGCATGCCCTGGGGCAGATAGGAGAATTACTCCATTTTTATAGAAATCAGTCGTAACGACTCAGGCTTAGGTTTACTACGAGTGCTACCAAATTCAGCGGGGCTGTCGAAACTCTTTGCTTATGAAAAGCTTACTAAGGTCACCGACCTTACCCTCTATACTAGAACCAGTATGAGTGTAGAGAATCGCAATCAACTACCTCCAAGAATACCCAGGACCTTAACCCAAGGCAAATGTACTCTTCCGTTCAAGATTGAAACTATATTTATCTGTTTTATTTGCGGCAGATCCGCCTATATCTAAATTACTAGGTTTTCCTAATTGGATAGGAAAACCTACTAATTATGCATAACTACATGCAGTCCCGCCACATAGAGGCTTCTGGTTACGGCGTAGCCACACCATTGTGTTATTACACCGTCTTGTGTAATCTTCACCTTTATTCAATCACACCATCATGTGTGACCCACCCTTTCATACCAGGGTACGTGTAACCCCGTTACGAGCTGGCTATATATTGGCACATGGAACTACTTGCTGAAGATTAAGCTTACTGATTTACATCCAATTTTCAAGGAGCTTGATCGCACAAATTTATCTGCATCTCTGTGAAAATCAGGGCACTTCAGCTGTTGGTATTTATAGTGCCAGTAAAATGATGCTAACTAGTAAGTGGTAATGTATGTCCGGTGGTGGTTGGTCTGTGGTCAGTCCAAACCCCTATGTATAGTGTAATTTCTGGTGTTGATTCATTTGGGTGCGGTTGTAAAAGCGCTTGAGCCTGCAGCTGATGCGTTTCGGTACGTCTTATCTTTATGTTTTTTTCGTTACTCGCGTACACTAAAGGGAGCTCGCGACAGAGCAGGTTTGCGGAAATTCAACTCTGACTTTATTTTAGGACCAGGGCGAAAGTTCTGGCCGCTCAAATGCACGTCATCGACTAATTAACTAATTATGGGCCCGGCTCCCCATATATCAGCCAATACAATGACAGCAATACAGTGCACACTAACCATCTTCATACTTATGTAATGGAGGGGCCCATTTCATCACCTCCCCTCTTTAAGTTGCGCTTTCGCAGCATAAGCGCGGTTGGATAGCTTGAAGAAGATTACTGGGAACAACAGCGACGGCAGTGACGGTGCTCGCGACACTGTGGCACTGGTGCCCCAGCTGGCGTGCGCAGCGATCTGTAACTCCGAGCGACAAGGTGGGAAAAGACTGAAGCTGGTGCCGTCGTCGACTGTGGCGGATATTACATCTTTTCGGGATGGCTGCTATGGCGACGCTTCAAACATTAGTGGAGGTTCCACGTGCTGATCACTCAAATTGTCGTCGTGTAGTCCTAGTGCGCAACCTGTTGGCTCTCGCGCAACACGCGGGAGTCCCATTCCCACCAAGACTTCTTGACAGCCGCAAGTTCATTAGCAGTTTTTATACAGCGGGACCACTTCGCGCGGAGCAGACCGGAAGTAGAACGAGCGGCCAGCGACGTCGAACATTCACGATGTCCAAGCACTCATGGCGGTGGAACCACTGGAAACACGATGACGATACGCCAGCCGCTTGAGCCTTTAAACGCCAGCACTTGAAGCTTCACTCAGGTGACTGAGCGAAGAGTTGCGATGAGGACTGCAAAGTCGGAACACGGGCATCCTGCAGGCTTGAACAACACTCATAACACTGCGAGCAACAAAAAGATGGGAGGCAGGATTGGACTGCTGGAAGCTTGTGACTTGCTCACGCGTCGTCGACTCACTCACTCAATCTTTCGCTCACTCACTCAGTCATTTACTCGCTCAATCAATCTCCCGCTCGGCTCACTCACCGAGTGGCTCGGGGGTTAATCGGCAAATTCACTCACAGATGGTCGCTCGATACCAGCGTCGACTCCAGGTTTCACTAAGGTGGGCATCTCCGCGCACACACAGATACGGCTCACCTTCTCCACTCATGCGCTTATAAGTAAGTGTCTTCTCGTACTCGTTCACAACATCTGAGACATCTTCCAATAAACGGCTACGTGGCTTCTAATACCTTCTGCGGGGGTAAGACCTACCAACGCACGAGACAGAGGTGTTCCTTGTCCCGCAGGGCGTGGCTCTATAGCTATTCTTCAGTTTGTGCGGCACGAGTACTTCGGCGCTGGAGTAGGTCATGATCTAAAATTTGCTTGACGATCCAGCGCTGAGCACTCAAAGCATCGATCAGAGGTGAACGTCTATCGCGCTGAATTGTCGCCGC